CTAGTAAGTTGCAAATAAGTCAGAGTGCTCATGCTCACCCTTGGTGAAAATACCAACAATGGACACGTGAGCATGAGAAGAACATTTATTCTGTGTGTGCGTCGCTTACCTGGAAAACTCCTGGCTGCACTATGTGAAGAAGGCAAGCTGGCATAGACAGTATGATGCTTTGAGTAGTGTTCTGCTGGGAAGTCTTGGGTTCTGCCATTTATGTGGATGTTACTTTGACATGTACCACCTACCTAAACACTGTTGCAGATCATTTACACCCTTTCATGGAAACGGTACGCCCTGATGGCTACACCCTGCCACAAAGCAAAAATGGTCCAGGAAAGGTTTAAGGAGCACAACAAGTTGGAGGTCAGATCTCAATTCAGTCGAGCATCTTTGGGGTGTGCTATACAAACAAGTCAGATCTATAGGAACCTCACCTAGCAACACAGAGGAGGTAAAGGATCTGTTGCTAACATCTTGGTACAGATCGCACACCTTAAGGGGTATAGTGGAGTCCATGCCTCGATGTGTCAGAGCTGTTTTGCCTGTAAAAGGGGGACCAGGACAATATTACCCATATGGAAAAGATATATATAAATCTTATAAAGTTTTTATCTGTCTTGTATGAAACTTGTATGAAAAGCATACAAGAGTGAAAACACATATAAGATCCCTTGAAAAATTATATAATGAAACTTGTATGTTTTGTATACTTACTAAAAAAAATATATGAAAGTAATGAGAAAGTGGCCACTTTCATGAGTAAATCATATATGTTTTTACTATTTCTTTTCCATATGGGTAGGCAGGTGGCCATAATGTTATGTTTGATCAGTGTAAGTAACCTGTGTGTGTTCTGTCTGAGCAGGCACCGCATTCGTTTGGGCACCATGAAACTGTTGTTGGACCATGGAGCTGATCCCAACGCAGCCAGGATCCCCATGCCCGTGCTCTTTTTAGCCATTATGGCAGCTGACACCGAGAATGTGAGGAAACTGCTGCTGTGCGGAGCTCGCACTGACATCCCTCTTCCACCAGAGGCAGGAGCTCAACTTTTAAACAAATTTAAATAATATTTTGTACAGGCACAAAAGAAAAAAAAAATCCACAAACACAGAAAGAAAAAAAAAAAGCACCTACATTAAACTCACCTGAAAATCTGCTTGTTTGTATAGAGGAAAGGCTTGTATCCCCTGCATGTAGCTGCAGCACTGCCAGGTCCAGCAGGTCCCAGAATCACACAGCTGCTGCTGCACGCCATCACCGACCCAGACGTACGGGCGTGCGACCAGGACGAGATCTACGAACCAGACAAGGTGTGTAGGTTTTAGAGTCCTGGGTTTTAGAGGTAAATGTGTTTGTGTTAGTTAACCTTTTTTTTTCTTTTTCTTTTTTATGTACTTATATATGTTATAGATTTCCACAAAGGCCACAGAAACACTAACTACCAGCCCACATCTCAAAGAAGGAGGCCGCACCGCTCTACATTTTGCCTGCCAGAGAGAAAGTGACTACAGGGTCGGAATGCATACAGTCACAGCTAAACACAGCACCACTATTTAATGATTACGTTACTGCTGCATCAAAGCAAAGTGCGGAGAACTGATGAATATTTAAGGTAAAAAAAAACACCTTTATTTTCCTTCCCAGAATGCCAGTGAAGTGGTTGCCATCTTGCTCTCCCACAGAGCCAGTACAGACCTTCTCTGGAGCGGCCACTCACCTCTCTCCTTGGCTATAGCAAGTGGCAATGAAATGGTACGACCTCGTTGTGCATGCACACTCACACATGCACGTGAGAGCCAAACCTCTCTTTGTCCCACACTATTTGTTGTTCCTCGTTTAGGCGGTAGACGAGCTGTTGAATGGAGGTGCAGATCTCAACTTACCCCTGGGCTGGAGGGTGGGCAGCGCGCTTTGTGCCCTCACCAACATCAACTACCACTTAGTTGGGCACAGAATTAAGCTGGTACCCACACAAACACATAATGACGACGAAACGTTTTTAAAAATTAAGTTATTAACATTTGTACTTTTTTTGTGCAGCGATCAAAGATAAATGTGTTCTTAATGACTTCAAATGAGTCACTTTTGTTCAGCTTTCAGAGAAAATAAGTTTTCCTAACATCAGTACGGCTTTTGTTTGGTTTAGTTGGACACGTTAACTAAGGCTGGAGCTGATATCTTGATGCCAGTTACAGTGTGTGGCATTGTTGGAACTGCAGTCGATTATGCACGCTACTCCTTCAAACAGGTAACACTCCAGCCATACTACATTGAATGAATCTAATGTGAATTGCTGAAGAATGTCCAGTGACTATCAGCTGTAGGTACTGGCAGTGCTGCACCTTACTGGTTCATCCAGTATTTTATGTTAATCATGGAGGGCCATGCTGGTATACACGGGGGCTGAGTGAGAAGGCTTTTTAGAGTTTTATTTTTATATATATATTTATACTCCTGTCTGCCTTTATGCTCCTATTTAGGACTCACATATTGCTTATACTCCTTTCCACGCTTTGAGCATTCGGGAGAGAAAAATATTCGAAGCACGGCAAAAGCTACTGAGCAAGATGGAAGACTTGATGAGGCAGGTTGCTGCTGAGAGGGAAACTGGTAATATAGAGAGAATAGCTTCCACTGGATACTTGGTGTAATGCACTTGTCCTTTTATTATTGAATATGCCTCTAAATCATAGAGTGTGTGTCCGTGCATGTGCGTGTGTGCGTGCGTGCATTTGTACTGCATGATTGGCAGGAGACCTTTCCTCCAACAAGGCTCTTGCCAGAAATAAAAGCCTACCAGAGGAAACACAAGAGCACAGGTACACATACACTCACATTCATCTACAGTAAGGTGCTGCTCTAGTTCCTTTTTCCTGTTGTCTGTCATTTAAACTTTTACTTCAACTAATGTCAGTTTCTAGTAACTTATTTGTGACTCTTTTCGTGTAAACCTGTTCTCAGGAAACCAGTGTTAAAGTTCTGCTTTCACTGCGGTCGCTCAGTGTCTGTGAATCTGACCCCGGGCAGGCGCTGCAACAAGGTCTCCTACTGCTCCAGGGCCTGCAAGCTCAACTCCTGGGAAGAAAGACACAAGAAAGAGAGCGTCCAGGTATCAGGTGGGAGTCAGAGACCCTCCTTCCAACAGTTAGAGCCAAACTTCAGCAGCCTTAAAATATTTGATGACATTTTTTCACAAGTGCTTTGAATATATGAATCACTTATCTGAATAATAAAATGATGTTTAGAGAACAATTAATGATACAGAGAATTTGTGAAATGCTGATTCAGTTTTGGAAGAATAGAGCATGTAAATACTGTATTTCTTTCTTTCCAGCATCTGTTGACAGTGCCCAGAAAAGTGCTGTGTCAAAAACCCAACGAAGTCCCAGGGCTTTGTCTGCCATCTTGAAATCCAAAACAGCCCCCAAGCCACTGAGTGTCCAGTTCAAATCCCAGAGAGAACTAAAGCTGTTGAGCAAGGCAGAGAAAAAGTTGGAGAGCCAAAATCCACTCAATCTGAGGGAAAACTACAGCCACAACTGATGGATATTAACATTTCTGTTTCATTATGTCTAATATTGACTACCTAATTTAACAAAGCACTCAGATCACATCACTGTATGTGGTTGAATGGTGGTGGCAGCATTTGTGCCATAATATTTCTCATATTTGTAGCTGTCAGATTACAATATAAAATAGCATTAACTGTAAATTGTGTTATTATTAACTTGTGCTGTTGAATCAGATTACCTTTGTCATTGTCAAGTGCAGTCCCTGCGGCTCAAGAGAAAAAGTTTAAATAAAATTTAAAAAAATATATAAAAAATGAGGTCACTGTCTTGTCAAAATAAATGTTTTTGCCCATGTTCTTCATTCCCATGATAATATCTGGCTGAGTGTTTCATGAGAAAGGTGAAGCATGACAGTTATGCCACATGTGGTCTATCAAAGTTCAGTCTATGATGAGGAACAAGGGTATAGATGACAGTTTAAAAAACAGCAAATGGACCTTAGATTAAATTTTTATAGTTAACGTCATTCTAATGAATATGATGATAGCTTCTGTTTTTCACTTAGCCAGTCTGCGCAGTTCTTGTTACTTATACATTCATGAAGTATTAAAGGCTCGCCTTACTGTCAGTGAAAGTAGCATCACAAATAATTCGTGTCTCATTAGATTTGTGTCTTCCTGGTTTCAAACTGGGGATCTCTCACGCATTAGCCTGAATTGTGAACCGCAACACTAATGGAACAACTTTCTATAGGAAAAAATCAAACCCTGAATATTTCATTATAAGTAACTTTTCTTTAGCACCACCCTTAGGTTGTAATATATGCCTACTGACTGGGGAGATAAGTGTTATGTCTTCCTCACTTTAGAGCCTGACTAGATTTTATTTAGGTGTTGCTATCACAAATCATGATCCTGAGGGTTAAAAACAAAACAAAAGCTGGAGCAGCTCTTTTTCCCCACTCTCAAGACCATCCATTGTGTCATGAATAGGACAGAAACTCCACTGTTATCCCTAAATCTGAGATCCAACTAATGGATGGACTCTTCTCTTCAGCATCTGAATATATAATTTTATGTCACATCTTAATCGCAAAATAACTCTCCATGTCGGTTATTTTGCATTTGATACACCAAATAAATAGACTCAAAAATCATTTTGTAAAATCCCTGTTTGGATGCATCATTCAGACATTCCCAGTAACATCATAACACAGACTATTTGTGCAAAGAAAGGCTCATTAAAGGCTCGTAATGATACATGCTGAATTGCCTGTTAGACTGGTTTTCATCAGCAGCAGGTTTACAGTAGGCTGAGGTTGCTGCCTGTACTTTGTTTCATACGTCATCATACGCTGATGAGTCAGAGGGACGGACAAACAAGGACCAGGAACAGCTGGTGTGACCCAGAGTCACCTCAGCCTCAACAAGAAGCAGGAAAACGTATTCAGAGAAGGAAGGCTTCTTACAAAACCAGACCGAGGAGAAAGAGATGACCGAGGACTTGGAGGAGCAGGAAGACGAGCTGCTCGCTCTCCAGAGTATCTTTGATGCGGACGAGTTTGTTCGGGACGAGTCGAAGTCTGCCGGAGAAATCCGAGTATGTGTCGAGCTTCCTGTCGGCTTCAGCGTGGCTCTCAGAGAGGGTAAATCAGAGGCGCCGGGGTTGTCAAACACGCCCCTGTTGGACCGAAAAGGTCCGATCTGATGTTTTTGGAAAATGTTGGTTTGGAATATTAGGAAGCACCTTTACTGGTACAGCCTTAATCATCTACTTAAGATAAAAATGGGTTTTATGTAGCCAATGATGTAAAATGAGTTAAACACTTGTTCTGCATTAGGCGAGCCCGTAACAATTTAATGAGCATGTTTTTGTTGGCATTAAATGGAATGTATGATGTATGAATTAAATATATCTATATTAAATATACCTTTGAACAGCTTAATGTCATCAAGCATCATTTATAGCTTTTGCCATTTGTGTTCATGTGACAGAATATATCAAATATTTTCTGTCGAATACACCCAAATTATTTAAAAACAAATAAACAAACATTACAGAAAGAGATTAGTTCATCTGATGAGCTCGTATTTTTCTTTCTAAGGTGAAAGTCTGCGTCAGTATGATATTTCCTTCCTTCCACCGCTGCTTTTGAACTTTGGGCTTCCTGAAGACTACCCTTCCTCCTCCCCTCCCTCCTTCAGCCTCACCTGCAGCTGGCTGACTCACACACAGGTAATCAGCAGTCAAGTCATTGTTGGTCACATGTTCAGCCTGCCAGTGTGTGAGAGGTTCACAGGACATTGTAGAGGCTCAGTAAAGATGACAACAATCTATTCTCCCTCTCCCTCCACAGTTGGCTGCACTGCGTGCTCATCTCGCTGATCTCTATGAGGCCACTGGGGGAGCTGTGGTGCTCTTCTCCTGGGTGCAGTTTCTCAGAGAAGATGCTCTGAGGTTCCTGAACATCCACAGTAAGCTGGATCTTCCTCCTGATGAACGCAGCACCCTGCATTATAACCAGGACCAACACGATGCTGAACTCTCAGAACCAAAGAACAATTCAGAGCCAGAGTTCTCTGTACCATCCTCGGAAGTTCAGGAGAATCCTTCAGACGGGAGCAGCGCAGACTCTCAGGGAGCTTCGGCTTTAGACTCCTGCAAGCATGACCAGAATGATCTGAACTCTCACCAGAGCCAGAGTGATCTAACCTCAGATTATCAAAGAGCTCTTTCTCCAGAGCCTGCACTCCAAAACCAAACCACACACACTCCAGATGTGACAATCCTCCAAGCCTCAGAGTTTAATGTTGATCTCCAGGATGATCTTTCTTCATCTGCAGAGAAATCCAAGCATCATCAAAGTGTCCGGGAAGATTTCTTAAATGAAGGAGATGCTTCTCTCTCATCGCTGCTTCCTTCTACCTCCTCAGGCACGTTAGATCCAAGTGAACTTGGAGCTGCTTCTCTGCCGGTCCAGCCCACAGATTCTCCTCAGAGTGAAGAGCAAACCCTCTCTGGTCTCTTTTTATCTCCATCACAGACTCTGCTGTCCCACATTTTGATCTATGATGCGGCCCAGAAACACAAAGTGTTTGCCACCACTTTCTTTGACTGCGGGGTTTGTTTTATGGGCCGGCTCGGGTCCGAGTGCGTGAAGCTGTCACCGTGTGGCCACGTCTTCTGCCGGGCCTGTCTCTGCGAGTTCTGTACGGTTCAGATCACAGAGGGGAACGTCCGGGATGTCACCTGTCCTCAGGCAGACTGCGCTGGTGCCCCTACACCTGCACAGGTAGAAGCTACACGCAGCCTTCAACCTGCAGAATGGTTTCAACAACTGTAGTGTTTGGTCCTTTTATCTAATATCAAAACACATTTTAAAAGCTGTTAAAAATAGCTACAGGTAGAAGGATCAAGCACAGAGGAATTTCGGCCTCACTTTGTGTCTCTGCTTTTTCGTCTCTGTTGTGTTTGTAGGTGCAGAGTCTGGTAGGGGAGAAGCTGTTCAGCCGCTATGACCGTCTCCTGCTGCAGAACACTTTGGACAGCATGTCTGGTCTGTTTCTATTGCTGTTAAACTGAGTGTGTCGTAAAGTTTTTCATACACTGATTGGAATGTATTTATTACATTTCTGTATTAGACCAGACAGAAAGAACATCTTTAGCTCTTTTTCAATAAATGTTTTTGTCTCGCAGATGTGACGTACTGTCCTCGAACATCCTGTGGCTCTGCTGTTATTTTGGAGAAGTCCAGCAATGCAGTGCTTTGCTCTGAGTGCAGCTTTGCCTTCTGCGTCACGTGCAGAATGACCTACCATGGATTAGAAGAGTGTGAAACCAAGAAAAAACATGCAAGAGATGCATTGCAAACCGCTTTAAAAAGCCTAGACTTGCCACAGTCACAAGGTACACAAAGGCACACTATTTCAATGACTATGTGGATATCTCTTATGTTTACTAAAAATCCAAGTATGTTTTTTAAACTGATAATTTTTTGGTGTACTGGTTATTAATGTTAAAATATTCAGTCACAGGACGAGTGGTGTGAATGTTGTCCTGTTTCAAAGAAAATCATAAAGTCAGTCATTTCAAAGCAGGAAGTACAAGAATCAACATAGAGATGTCCCAGTATTGTGTCTCGTGTCAGTGCAGGACTCAACAGCATCAATCCAAGTGCAGCAGCCTCTGTAGAGGTGTAAGATTACTTTACAGCACTTACAAGTCACGAATGCGACTGAAAAAAATATATTTATTTGATCCGATTCTAATAGTAGCACTTTGTTTGATTAATCTTTAACCCTACACTGAAGGCTTTTTGTGTGTTGATGCAAATGTTGTTTTGTGCTCTGTGCTATCTGTGTCTCTCAGAGGGGTTGAGTGCTCTCTTGAATGACTATAAACATGGCAGTAAGGAGAGGAAACGCCTGCTGGTGAGCAGATATGGTAACATGCTGGTAATGCTGGAAAGTAATCTGAATGACACCTGGTTGGCCAACAACAGCAGATGCTGTCCTCACTGCTTCAGCAGAATCGAGGTATTTAGTCATGTGCGCACGGAGAGTTTCTGGCTGTTTTGAAGTCATGTGACTTTGCCTGCTCACGTGTTGTGTTTCATGTTGCAGAAGAATGGAGGATGTGACCACATGTTATGCACTCAGTGTGGACAGGACTTCAGTTGGTGCTGCGCTCTCAGACTGACAACAAAAAATGGAAAAACGCACTTACAAGAATATGTCTGTGAGAACCACCGAAAATAGCCTCCCAGTGCTTCCGCTACTTTCACCAGCAGCCCATCATTTTGTCACATTAAAATCAGTTTTATTTAAAAAGATTAAAAGAGAAATGAGATCTGATTGAAACAAAAAACAGAAATTTACATCCTGTGAAGTGTTTTGACCCAGACATGTCATACTGTATCATGGTCAGCAGAGGGCGCTAAACAACAAGAATGACAAAGCAGTAACATGACAAGTTCCTTTTGGTAACTTTAGAAAAGCTAATATGTAAAACAGTCTGTTTGTTTGTTATTTTCAATAAATTGATACATGAATTTAACAAATGATGAACTGATTTATTTAACCTGGATGCTATAAAAACACTTCAGGAAAATATCCTCTGTAAAACTATACAATAGCAAACCTGTAATGTAGAATATCTTATACACATATTTCTATATGAGACGTTCTTGCAGCTGTTTCTTAGATTCTCTGAGATCTACAGTGTACGTATTAATTATTAATCTTCGTCTACTCTTTTTTGACTTAACCTCATGTTTTATCACTGTTGCATATGTAAAATCACAGCATAAGGTCCTCACTATGTGCCTGTAAAACATGTTCTCCCTAGTTATAATTGTAGCTCATTGTTGTCTTCACTGTCAGTAAACCCACTGTTTTTGTTTTTCAAGTAATGTATAAAGCGTGTGGTTGTAATTACTACCTATAGCCACAGTTCCAGCAGTCTGGAAAAAGCCTTTTTTACTCCAAAAGATTAAGTTAAGATTCATTAAATAATTAAATAAATGTGTAATTCATTCATTAAAATGATAAATGAGAAATATATATGAATACACAATTAAATGTCAATTCATTTCATTTAAAAGATAATTATTTATTTCAAATTTTAATAAATTAAAGACGCTACTTTCTTTTTGATTCATGTATTTGTTTAATTCATTTTGGCACATGTGGGTCTCAAGACTCATGCACACATTTTCTTTTATTATTAAATCATCCGGTTCATACCAGACCATTAGAATATTGTGCCTGACACCTCCAATTTTGTGTAATATCAAGGCTACACTAATAGAGATTGGTTAATATGTGTTTACAATCATTACGGCGTGCCATGATGATCTGGTTTAATCTCTAATGGTGCCTTAGGAACAAACAGGTCGAGAACAGTAGTCTGTAAGCAGGTTAAAAGGCTCATAGCGGTCCTGTATACTTCATTTCTACAGAGGTCAGTCTGTGTAGCAGATAGTGGCGAAGAAGAGAAAAGCTTATAACCCTTGAACTGCATGTCTCATTTCCCTTGCAGCAGCAGGCTACAGGTAGATCCTGAACATTTGGCTTCTTCACACTCACCAACTTCCTGTTTTGAAACGTCCCCCTCCATTCTTGCACTGTTCTGTCACAACACTGGAACAAAGACCACTGCTGCATACAACTGGAAATCTACAGATGTCTCGTATATCAGGCCAGCATGTTTGACTTTCTGTGTCTCTTCCAGGAAAATCCCGCTTCCACCCCAGGGGGAGGTCATCACTTCCTCATAAATGTCTAAACAACACTTTGCTTTTCTAAGGCAAACTGTTGCAGCAGGAGCCCTGGCCTGGAACTCCTGCTGCACTTGTACGTGACAAGCCTCTTGGTGGTTCTTCTGAGAGAAAAACAGCAAATGAAGAGGCACTCAGAAAATAATCATGTCAAGGACTATAAAAGACAAGTTATATGTTTCTACTGAACTATGGAGAGCAGTCATTTAACAAAACAATCTCAAATAAAATGAGGAGAAGGACTGCATGGTGAGTAAATAATACAGAAATCTTCTTTCCTGGAACTGAACAGGTAAAAAAATAAATCAGGTGAGGACAATGGAGGCAACACAGACCTCAAAATGACACCCTGGACAGGTCACCAGATAACACAAAGAGACAGACTAACTGCATGTCTGCATGAAGCCCGAGTACCCAGGGAGAACCCACACAAGCACAGGAGAACATGCAAACTCCATACAAAAAAGCCCCGGTGAGATGGTGGAGTCTAACCCCTTCTTGCTGTGAGGCAACGGCTCATTTCATTTTTTAATCTTCTTCACATAGAACAATTAGCAGATGTTATAACTGACATGTATTACAACTCTGGGACAATATGAGATCAAGGAAGAAGCTGGCAGTTGACTTTATGCATTTGTAAACAAAGAAGAAATTGTCACTGTGACAACTTTAACCCCTTGCATTGGGGATTTTGTATATTATTTATTTATTTATAGTTTTATTATTACATAAAAATATAATATAAAGCATCATGAATTCATACCAACAATGACTTCTCTGTGTCTTTTGTAAGCTTCATTAGTCCTGCCCGCATTCAGTTCCAGTAATTCTGCAGATACCTACCTTTAGTCGCACCAGATTTGTGTTACTTCCTTTATAATTACAGAAATGCATATACAGTGCAGCACAAGTCTTGAGTCATGCCTCATTTCTTAATATTTTGCTAGAAATATGGGACACAGGTGCGCTGATTCATTAAAACACCTGCAAATATGTTGTGTATTTTAATCATGCTTCAATAATATTGAGGTCTGTCAACTGGCGAGGCCAGTTCATTGAATTTAATTACTGATGAGGCTTTCATGGATCATCTGCAGCCCCAGATATATCTCTCAGGTCTTTGCTGCATTTATTTTATGTTGTGGACATGACTTTCAGGTAATGATCATCTGCTGTAGACAGTTTTTAGGCTTCCTGCATCTTCTTTTGTCCTCCATTAGCCCAGTTTCCTCAATTTCTTTGAGAACACACTGCACACCATGCTGTGATTAGTCGGTTTTTCAGTAGTAGTAGTTTCAAAGTTGTCCAAAGGATAGCTTTGAAAAAAAGCCTGGAGAACTGTTGCTGGAGACCACTTTAAAACTGACATGAAAGGCTGGCTCCTTGGAAGCAAAACATTAAAGAGAGGGGTTGCTAAAGACTTTTGCACAGTACTGCACGCACACATCAGAACCAAAGACCAATAACAGCCCTGAGTGATGGTTGTTGTTTCAGTCAGCTGACTGTCAGACGTGTGCTGAGCTGTCAGTTTGAAGCAAATCCCTCTTGAGTCTTCTAGGACCACTGATGCAATGATGTGAAGTAGCACTGCATAGCCTTGCATTTACCATAATGAATTGTAAATATCGCTGTTTTAATGCAGAGTAAAACTTTTTTTAAAAACGCCATTTTATAAATCATTATAACAAAAAATAACAAAAAACAAAAGAACGAACAGATCAAATGGCCATCCCATCCTTGATGAAAGCTAACGACTTGTGCTAACGGCCTGTGCACCACATTTCCGGCAATCTGTTCATACTTTTTTTGTGATATCCCGCTGACAGATAAACAATACCAGGGGCGCAGAAACAGCTTTCCTGGCAGAAGTAATATCAAGGATAGTGAGTAAGGCCTGGTTATCAGTGCAGTGGAAACTAGGCTATGGAGGAGCGTCTTCTCCCTGTGAGTCAATAACAGCATCAACTAACAGAACATTTATTTCCCCTGGAGCGGTAGGAGCTGGGTCGTGGAAGAGAAAGCTTGAGACATGAATTCACTGTAATAATTATTAGCTTAGATCCATTATAGTGATCGCCACATTTATTCAGACCCCCCCCCAAACGCACACACACACACACACACACACACACAGAAGTTGTTCAGGCATCCATTTAGTCAGTCAGTGGTATATTGGCAACACTCTTCAGAGGCACTAAAAGTATGCTGAGGTTTTCAAGGAGATTACAGGAGCATTATGGGAGGTTTGGGGGACCCCACACTATAAATGAAGGTGTGTGTGTGGGGTGTGTGAAAGATCTTCTTTAAAATAAGTTTTCCCCAAGGCTTACAACAGCTAAAGGTCAAGAAAGACCCTTAACTGTGTGTGGTTTCATTGGGAGTTATGGGCTGTAACCACAGTCTGGAACTGATGTGTACTCAGAGTGCTGTCAGCGTGAGCTGTTAGGAAGCCGTCAGAGTAGAGAGCTGCAGAAAACTGTGATTAAAAGTAGTTTGGCAAAAATGTAGTTCCACTACATAAGTCAGTCTAAAATCACAAAAAGCATGAAGGAGACTGTGTGCACAGCAGCGTGTGTGTGTAGTAATTAGTGAGTTTTAGAGGTGTTGGGTTACGGAGCTTGAACAGAGCCTGGGGAGCTGTTTGTATGTTGGGCTAATTTAATTACCTCTTGGATCTATAGCACAGACACAAGAGTTGAATCAAAGTCTCAGAATGAAAGTTAAAAAAATAATAATAATAAAAAAAAGCACTCACAAAACTTTTACTGTCTCTGGAAATCCAGCTGTAAAAACAAGTAGAAATGTCTCTCATTTTTTGTGAAGAATCCTTATTATGTGTTTGTTGCCCTCATTTGAAAATCAATGGCGTAGTACCACTGGTGAGCATGGCTAACTAATCCCGACTGTGTGCCTGTATGTGTAGCTAAACTGAAAAAGTGTTTCAGATCATGGTAAGCCATCCATTTGGATCTAGTTCTATCCAGACACCTGACCTGACCTGACCTGAGCAAACTGTTCTGTGCCCATTAACATGGTGTCTTTAAAATTAGACACTCCAGTTCACCTAATTCTGCAGTCACATCAGTAAAACCAAAGAAAACACTATGGAAATAGAAAAAACGCAGCAAAACCTTAACAAAAAAGGGGGAAGCAGTTTGAAGGGGTTTTGAGGAGACAATAACGTGATGGACCAACTGCAGAAGTGACCAGCTAACAATAAAAGCTAATAGCCAACATGCAGCTACAGTGTTATATGAGTCATTCAATTAAACACACATTACTTGGATCTTTTTCTCCCTCATAAGAATCCTTCACTTCTTGTAAACAGGTCTCAGTGCAGTCTTTCACATGTTTCTGATTTCTGTCACTTCTTCAGATCTTCGGTCATGTTCTTGTCTTCCCAAAAACACTTCCGTTGTGAATTTTTACAGTTTTTTTCTATTGGTGTTTTATTCAACATTTGTGTGTTTTGTGTGCTTTTGTATTATTTTTTTCTATTTGCTGTTGATTTCCTAACTTGCAGGGCATTTGACCTTTCTGGCCCATATGGAAAAGGAATAGAAAAAACTTATAAAAGACTTGCATCAGATGGGGCCTACTTCATATAGTGAATCATATAAGGCTTATATGATTTACACATAAAAGTGGCCACTTTCATATATTGTTTTAGGAAGTATCCAAAACATACAGGTTTCATTTATACAATTTTTCTAGGGATCTTATATCTGTTTTCACTCTTGTATGCTTTTCATTTAAACACAGATACAAACTTAATAAGATTAATATATATATAACTTTTCCATATAGGGGGGCCACCATATAATTCAGAATGAAAAGCAGAATTTGAGTCAAGGGTTTCTACCTAACCGCACAGTGTTGCCCATCTACCCTCATCTGCTCAGTCCAACAGTCCAGCGCATGGATAAAACACAGAAATGACAAATATCACACACATTTGCAACAGCTTCGGCTTCTCACCTCGTAGATTTTAGCATAAGGAGTTCATTAGAGGCAAATAATGACAACAAAGACTAAACAACATATGGTAGAACACATTTTCTAAATAAACATCAGTGTATTTTTATATTCACTGCAAACGTGGGATTTTTTTTTCCAGTACCATTTTGCAGATTCCT